TTTGGCCAGTCTTTCTATAATACTTAAGTTTCTTTCAGTGACAAGTGACAAAAATTCAACTCAAACTTGTTAGGGCCCCTAACATTTGGAAATGTATTAGCTCATGGAGCTGTGAAGTTCAGATGTACATTTTGCATCAAGTTTTTGCTGGATAAAAATAATCTTATCAGAACACTGTCTCTGACTTCTACTTTCCTCTGTACTGGCTTTATTCTCAGAGAGTCTTTTACCTCAGAGGGCCCCAAAAGCAGTTTTGGGTGGCTGGAGGATTGTACCATCCACAATAACTAGTGATTTCATGGGGAAAAGCATGTCTCTTTCATGACAGTTCTAGCAAAGTTCTAGGGAGGCTTGAATGGTCAGGCTTGGGTCACCTGCAAATTCCTTATCACTGTGGCTAGAAGGATCTGATTCTCTGACTATGGTTGTGGTGGGGAAGGTCATGAAGTAGATTACCTACTGTAGAGAAATTTCCTTCTTTAACTGAAAAAGAGGTAGGAAAATACACTGGGCAGGCATACTAAAATTACCTCTACTACATTTCCTGAAAGAATTAGCATGTGAGCCCTTACCCCATAACCCTGTATCCTGCAGTGGTGATTTCATTGGCTCATATCTATCCAAGTCAATGAGTATATCATATTCAAAGCTGGAAGGGAGAATGTTTCAACTTGGGAGTGTGGTGAAAGAATTACCAGTCCTCTCATTGGTTCCATAAATATATCTCTTTGTTCTGTTAAAGTATTTCTATGTAGTTTTAAAATATGCCCAGCAAAATGCCATCAATTGATTTCTCCAATAAAGAAAATGTTCAAGAGATGGTGGAGTCAAACTCTTGGTGATTGTGCCATTAGAATACATTCTTTTAAAGAAATCTTCACATCTTATCATCTTTGCTACTCAGAAATTAACTTGCCTTAGATGATACTGATTCCTATTCTATTTTCACACTGGAATTCTGTTTACTATTTACATTTATGAGGGTTTTTTTTTTCTTTGTAGAATGACTCACATCTCAGCTCAACTAGCCCCTCACATAATGTTTACATATTAGCCTAGAGTTTAAAGCTAGTCATTTTTCCACATCAGATCAGATTAAAAAAGATAACTAGGTATACTCTGTGGTGAACTTTAAGCCAATTTTAAGCATTGCTACAGTTTTGCACAGGCAATCCTCAGTTACTTATGGAGTTGATTTAGTTTAAACCTTTGGTGACCAAATTATTTTCTGCTTTGAATTTTTTGTCGATAGCATGTGTTTTCATCTAATGGAAGCATGCTGAATCATTGAGTGTGTCTGAATTTTTGGTAGGTAGTATGGATTTTTTTCTTGTCCCTATCCTAAGTATTTAGTGGTGCATATGAAATACCACTAATTATACCCTAGAGTCCCCACTGGGGTCTACTGGTACCTATGTGTAACAAATAAAAATTTTCACAATTTCTATTTTTCCTATCAAAAATTCAGACACCTCACACAATACCCTGTAAAACCAATAATTTGTGGCATATGTCCATTTCTTCAGTTTCAATCATAAAGGTCCCTTGTGGCAGCATGCACTGTCAGTGGTATAGCAGGTTCCCAATAAACCACAGAAGATGAAGAAATTCATGGTCACTGTATGTACCACTGGGCACAAAAGGGTTAAAGACTTTGTATGTGTTGGAGGACACAGTTTTTCCTTGTAATGTAAGAAGCCTGCTTCTCTTCTTCCCTGGAGATTTCTCAAGGGATCTCCACATGGACTGTCCTTTTCATTTTTTTTTTTTCCAAGACAAGGGAAAGGGAGAAGTAGAGGTGAAGAGTTCCATGGTCTTGCCAGTTTTCTTCCTTTACCAAGAATCTCCTTAAATAAGCGTCATATTATAAGCTGTTGAGGTCATGAAAGTGGACACTGCCAAGATATTGAGACTAGAGTATTTGAGAGTATATCTATCATTCATTCATTCATTCAATATTTACTGAGTACTTACTATGGGCCAGGTTCTGTACTAGGTACTGATATTACAGTAAACATGAAAGGCGAAGTCCCCGACTTTGTTTATGTCTTGTCTTCTCCACCGGAATGTCTTATAAACAGATACATACATAAGTCCTATTAAGAAAAACAAAGCAGAGTAAGGGACAGAGAGTAGCAGAGTCTGCTATTTTAGACATACTGGTCAGGGAAGGAGGAGCCCTGGGGGCACAATGGTTAAAGCACTCAGTTGCTAACCAAAAGGTTAGCCGTTCAAACTTACCAGCGGCTCTACAAGAGAAAGATGGGGCAGTCTGCTTCGGTAAAGATTTACAGCCTTGGAAACCCTATAGGGCAGTTCTAATCCGTCCTATAGGGTTGCTATGAGTCAGAATTGACTTGATGGCAGTGAGTCTGGTTTTTGGTTTGGTCAGGGAAGACTTCTTTAAGAAAGTACCATTTAAGCAGAGATTGAATTATGAGAGAAAGGTAGCTGAGCACTCCAGTCGAAAGAAACAACACAGAGTGCAGAGACCCTGAAGAGGGAATGTCCTTGAGCTATTCAGCGAACAGCAAGGAAGCCAGTCTGGCTAGAAATTACTAAGTGGGAGATCATATAAAACGAGGTTAGAGATGTTGGCCATGACGTATAGGGTTTGTAAACAGTGATGAGGGTTTTGGAATTTATTATAAATGTGTTAGGAAGCATTGGAAAGTTTTGAGCTGGGAAGTAACACTATCAGGATACCTTCTGAAAGGATCACTGACAGCTAGGTAGAAACTAGGATGTGTTATTATTTTTGTTAGTTGCTGTCGAATTGACTCCTACTCATGGTGACCCCAAGTGTGCAGAGTAGAACTGCACTCCACAGGGTTTTCAAGGCTGTGACATTTTAGAAACAGTTCACTATACCTTTGTTCCAACGCATTTCTGAGTCGGTTTGAACTGCCAACCTTTTGTTTAGTAGTGGAGCACTTCACTGTTTGCACCACCCAGGGACTCCTATTGCTATATATAGTTCAGATGAAAAATTATTATGGCTTGGTTAGGGTGGAAGTGATTGGATTCAATATACTTTTTGAAGATTGGGGCAAAGAGAAGGGTGAAGGATGAGTCCAAAAACTTTGGCCTGAGTAAATGGGGTAAAGGATGGTACCATTTACTGAGATAGCGAACACTGCGGAAGGTGTGCTTTGTGTGTGTGTTTGGTGGACATGTTAACTTTCAGATATTTATTATAAATTCAAATGGAGATAAATATGATACAGCTGGATATACCAGTTAGAGTTCAGAAGAAGGGCTGGGACTAGAGATGGGATTTAAAGCCATCTATGACCACCATCCATGGGATTACATGAGGGAGTGACGGTGAAAAGAAAAGAGGACCAAGGACTGAGCCTGAGGGCACCAGAACACTTAAAGAGGTCAGGCAAAGAAGAAAGATTCAGCAAAGGAAAACCCAGAAGACTCAGTGAGGTAAAAGGAAACCCAGAAGAGTGCAGGGTAATGGAAAACAAGTGAAGAAAGTGTCTCCAGAAGATGGTAGTTATCAGCTTTGCCAAATGTTACCCTTTAGATAAGAACAGAAGTACCTGTTGGATTTGGCAACTAAGAGGTAGGCAGGAAAGGCTGATTGGAGCGAACTCCCTCTTTGGGGGAGTTCTGCAATAAGAGGGAGCAGAAAAATGGGATGGTAGCTAGCAATTTGAAGGGGCCCTCAGTAGTGCAGTGGTTAAGCTCTCCTTGCTAAACAAAAGGTCGGCAGTTGGAATCCACCAGCAGGAGAAAGATATGGCAGTCCGCTTCTGTGAAGATTACAGACTTGGAAACCCTATGGGGCAGTTCTACTCTGTCCTATAGGGTCATTATGAGTTGACTAGATGGCAATAGGTTTTGGGTTTGGAGCTAGCAGATGATATGCAGCCAAGGAAGAACTTTTTTAAAGGGTGGGGGATAATGCAGTATATTTGTATACTGCTGGAAATGGTGTCTGCGCTAGCATAAACCAAACAAAACCCACTGGTGCGAGTCCATTCCGACCCATAGCGACCCCACAGGGCTTCCAAGGCCGTAAATCTCTACTGAAGCGGACTACTGCATCTTTCTGCTGTGGAGCTGCTGGTGGTTTCCAACCACTGACCTTTCGGTTAGCATAATAGGAGACAAATCCTGGCTTCTGCCCTCAGAAGTCTAACCTTCAAAAGAATTCATGATACCAAGCACCAGAAATCCATCCGCACTGCATGAAATCAAGACAGCCGATCTGTGAAGCAGCTCAGGTAGCCTTTAGCTGGCAAGACAGAAAAAAAAAACAAAACACCAAACCCATTGCCATCCAGTCATTCCAACTCAAAAACCAAACCAAACCCGTTTCCGTGAAGTCCACTCTGACTCATAGCGACCCTATAGGACAGAGTAGAACTGCCCCATAGGGTTTCCAAGGAGCGGCTAGTGGATTCGAACTGCCGACCTTTCGGTTAGCAGCCAAGCTCTTAAACACGCGCCACCAGGGCTCCTGCGACAAGGAAAAGGGGTGGGCAAGCTTCATCCTCCTGTGGCTTCGGGCTGGAACGCTGAGGCGCCCCTGGGTTATGGCACCCACACTCTCCGCAGACCCCGCCAGACACGGCCCCAGGATGCCCAGCGCGTTTAGCGGCGCCCGGCTTTTCGATTCTATCCGTTCTGCCACATTCCGAATAGCTACAAAATGGAGGCGGGAGAAAAATCCTTTCAAGAGCGTGTCTGTGGAGGCGGCTTCCTCCCTGCTCTACACAGTTTCCTTCGGCGCCTCACCCCGCTTCTCGAGGACGCCGATCTGCACTCCAGAGTCACCAAGTGCCCCTCGTACCAGCCTGGCCAAGGTTCTACTTCCAACCTGGCACCCCGACGCCCCAGCCCGGCGGCACCACACCCTATCCGCGGTTGACTCACAGTAGGGCGGCAGCATATTTGGCGGGCGGGGCCGGGTGCGCCCCAGAAGTCACGTGACTGCCTCCGGCCAATGGGCGCGCGGCGTGGGGTAGCTGGGCGGTGGGAAGCCGGTTGGACTCGCAAGACGCTGAGGTGGCAGCCGAGTGAACTAGCGGCCGGGCGAGTGGCAGGCCATGGACTGCAAAGTCCAGCGGGCTCGCGCCGCGTTCCGGTCCGGCCGGTCGCGGCCCCTGCAGTTCCGGCTGCAGCAGCTCGAGGCCTTGCGGAGGATGGTGCAGGAGCGCGAAAGGGACATCCTGGAGGCCATCGGCGCCGACCTGTGCAAGGTTCGGACGCCGACCTTCCGCCTCCCCACTTCGGGACGGCATTCTCCCTGAGCGTTTGTATTCTTTTTTATTTCAGATTAAGCAAACAAAAATTTCTCCCGACTTTCCCGATCCTCCTGCCGCGCATATTACACACACTTAGAAGTGCATATGTTTTCTGTTGTGTGTAATTCCTCGTCTATGAATTACCTTTTATAGTCTTTGCTCGTATTTCTATCGCGTGTATCGTCCTTTTCTATTTGTAGGAGCTCCTTGTATATGCTGAATTTCATAGTTTGCCAGCTTAACATATTGCCAGTATTTTTCTCCGAGTCTGTTTCTTGCCTTTTAACTTTGTGGTTTCTTTTGTAGACAGAGGCGTTTTGTTGTTGTTGTCGTCGTCGTTGCACTCAAATTTTCCGTCATGACTTTGGACTTTGTGTTTTAGGTCCGCGCACCTCAAACTCTAGTGTACTGAGGAATCACCTAGGGATCTTGTTAAAATACAAATTATGGTTCAGTATGTCTGGGATGGGGTCTGAGATTCTTAAGTTCCTAAGGCCCTGGTGATACCATGCATTCAGTTCTGGAACCACGCTTTGAGTAATAATATTGCTGTCATCTTGTTTTCAGTTTTTATATGCATTCCACACATACCAAGCCCTTCCTCTGGCTTTGGGAGTCTCCCTTCCTCACCTCCCTTCACCGAAGTTTATTTCAAGGAGTAATAATATCAGTAATAGTAGTAGTAGTAACAGTAGTAACCACAGAATTACCTTTATAGTACTTTTGGTGGAGAGGAGCTGTGATATCAAATATACAAGGTGGGATAATTAAGATTCCAAAAAGGCTGTGATTCATTTACTCATTCTACAAATACTAAATGTTTGTGTCAGTATGTATAGGTATAGGAGTACTAACAAAATTAAGATCCTTGGCATTGAAAGTTTTAAATTTGGTTGGCAGACAAAACACACAGATAAATGTGAATATAGTTAAAAACTAGTATATTAAGAGTGAAATATCAAGATACAGATTGAAAGCATAGTTGCTATTGTATGTAAATTAAAGTGTGATCAGGATGAGCCATTATTTATCAGGAAAGTCTTCCTGAAGGAGAAAAGGTTTAAACCCAGTTTTAAAGAGTTTGGATCAGTAGAGAAGGATTTTGAGGGATTGTATATATTACAGGAGTTAGCAAGTTACTATTGAAGACTTAGGAGTCCCTGAGTTGTGCAACATATTAATGCACTTGGCTGCTAATGGAAAAGTCAGAGGTTTGAGTCCACCTGGAAGTGCCTTGGAAGAAAGGTCTGGTTGTCTACTGCTGAAGAATCAGCCATTGAAAATCCTTTGGAGCACAGTTCTACACTGACACACGTGGTGTCGCCATAAGTCAGAATTGACTCAATGCCAACTAGTTTTATTGAAGGCTTGGAGGGTGTAAAAGGAATCTGGATGGTAAACCAGCTAGTCTGATAACGCATGTTGTTGTCAGTGCAAGTGTACCAAGCCGGAGGTTTTTGACATTTAGGGCTGAGTATGTCAAACTCATTGTGTAAGGTTAACTGATTCTCTTATGACAGAGTGAATTCAATGCATACGGTCAGGAAGTCATTAGCATCCTTGGAGAAATTGATCACGTACTGGAGAAGCTTCCCAAATGGGTTACTCCTAAACCAGCTGAGAAGAACCTGCTCACCATGCTGGATGAAGCCTATATTCATTCAGAGCCCCTAGGAGTTGTACTGATTATTGGCGCTTGGAACTACCCCTTTGTTCTCACCATCCAGCCACTGATAGGAGCCATCGCTGCAGGTCTGGTGCCAACTTATGTCTTCATACCTTTTTAGAGGAGCTTATTTTCTCATATAACCCTGGTGGCACAGTGGTTAAGAGCTCGGCTGCTAACCAAAAGGTCAGCAGTTCGAATCCACCGGCCACTCCTTGAAAACCCTATAGGACATTTCTACCCTGAGTCGGAATCGACTCGATGGCAACAGGTTTGGTATTATCTCCTATTGGTTGTAAATTAAGGCTAATTAAATAATTTTCCTTGTCAGTTTGCTTTGGTTTATACAAGCACTGTATTGATAATTCATAATTATCATAATTTTTTGAAAATTGGGCTCTAGAGGAGATTTGCATGATGACTTATCTTTTGTAACACCCAGAGAGTGCACATGTGAGGGTGTAAAGGCATCTGAGTCAGTAGGCTCAAGAGTTTGGAATCAGGCATCCATTTTTTTTTAATGTAGGTTTAGCTGCTGCCTCTGGCCTGGGTGAACCATTTGATTCTGTCTGACCGGCTTCTTCATTCAAATAAGGGCTATGGGAGTAATGCTACCTTGGGTGTATAGCAATGCCATGAGATTAATTTATCACTTCTGCAAGTCCAGATCAACAACTTTGTGTTGTCAAGGCCTGCTTGTCTGACAGTTTAAGAACAGAGAGGGAAATCCAAGAGTGGGAGTGGGAAAAAAGTGATAGAAAGCTAAAGAAATTGGGAAGGCTCATTGAGCCCATTGCAAAAGACCTGAAGCAAATGAGAACTAAGGAATTAGCATTTGAGAAAGAAACTGGAAAGGAAGAGAAAGTGAGACTAGCTCTTCTGCCCATTATGAGGAAGAACAGAATTAAGAGCTGCAGAAATAGTTTGAGTGCCTAGCCTATGCTCTACACATGAACATTGTTTTGGTAACTATTGAAGTTACTCTATTTTTAGATAATATTATTCTGCTTTTTGCTTTGTTTAGGAAATGCTGTGATTATCAAGCCTTCTGAAGTAAGTGAAAATACAGCCAAGATCGTGTCTAAGCTCCTCCCTCAGTACTTAGACCAGGTAAGAATGTCTTCAACCATCTTCAACATATCTGTTTATTTTAGGAAACACACATTTGATCTTCCTACTAATGCATGTCATCGATGGCAGGAGATCCATTTGCAGGTTTCTTAATTAAGCCTCCAACAATTGACTTAATAAAAGAAGTTACAGTTCCAAAATAAACTGTGGAATGACCTAGCTTTGTGATTATATAGTATTTTTAGGTTAATGGCTTCATAGGGACACCTCCAGTTATTTACAAATCCTTTTCTGCTGTCTGGCATTTTGCTTGCTCTAAAATAAAACTTTAAGTGTATTTATTCAGTGAATTATTGAGGGATTGGTACTGTGCTGTGTGCTGGCATATTTTTGTTGCTGACAATTTCTTTTTGCCTAACGGGTTACAACTGTATAAGAGCATAACTGCTTTTAAAAAGGGTATGTTTGTGTCATGAAAACTACAGAAAGAAAAATGACTGCTGAGCTGAAGAGTGGATCCTCAACTGGAGTTAAAGTCTCTCTGTCTGAATCATAAGTTCTTGCACTCTTCTAGGGAGGAAGCTTATGATGCTGCCTGAAACTCAGACTGCTGAGTTCCGAAGGAATTGCTGCAGCAAGAGGTCCTCATTTAGCTTTCATCAAAAGGCAACTTTAAAATATCATGCCTGCAGCTATACACATTAATTGACAACAGCGCTGAGGCCATCTCTGGCTCTTAGAATAATACTATTCTATTTGTCTTATCGTTGTTATGGCAGCCCACAGAACAATTTTGTTCTCATAGCTCTAGTTATCCAATTCAGTGGGATGAAATGGAAGGTAGTAAAATGTCATGGATTCAATAGGATTTGGAACCAGAAGATTGAGGTTTAAGGTCCTGTTTTGCCCCTCACTGGGGTTAAATTCTTCAATATCTGAGTCTGTGGAGATGGGGCTAATAATGCCCTTCCTACCTCACTTAGCTTGTTGGGGGAATCAATCACATATGTTCTATAGATAAGCCATGTAAAAGTTAAAACTTGAAACATTGTTGAGCAGTTGAACTATGAAGTGAATGAGAACTAATTAACCCTTCAGAGAGTGGGACATAAGTGGGCACATGAGGTCCATACGCCAGTGTTTACTTCATACTCACACCTCAGAAGCTTTTGAACACCTTCTGTTTTCCTTCCTTGTCATGTGTTCTCTGCCATTACTTTTTGTGCTATTATTTTTCAAGATGTTCTCTTATAATAGCTGCTAATAATAACGCAGTGCATCTAAGGGGTCAGTCCATGGAAGCTACGTGAATTTCCCAGTAACGGATGAGGAAACTGAGGCTCAGAGATGTTCAATAACTTGCCTAAGATCATATAAGCTACTAAGTGGCAGAGCCAGGGTCAATCCAGATCTGTCTGCCTTATATACCATTTGTTTATTCAGCAGACATTTATTTGGTTCCTACCATGGGTGGTGCAAACAGTTAACTCACTAAGCTGCTGACTGAAAGGTTAGAGGTTCAAGTCCACCCAGATGTGCTTTGGAAGAAAGCTCTAGCAATCTGCTTCCAAAAAATCAGCCATTGAAAACCCAATGGAGCACAGTTCGAGTCTGACACATGGGGTCACCATGAGTCAGTCAGCTCCACAGCTGGTTTTACCGTGGGCTAACTCCTGCCCTACTGTGTAGAAAGAAAACGTTCAGATTAAGACATTCAGCTGGGACCTGTCCTGTGGTTGATAACATTAGCTACTTTCTCAGCAAAATCCTCAGTTTCTATACCCTCCATTGCATCCATTTCCCTGGTCAAATCCAACTGTTTGCTCTTTTTTTTGTGCCTTCGTAGCTGAGCTCATGTAGAAAACAGTGGACTGTCTGGGTCAGTTCCACTGTCATTTGTAACCTACAACTGAACCTACATTAAAAAAAAATGGACGCCTGATTCCAAACTCTTGAGCCTATTGACTCAGATGCCTTTACACCCTCACATATGCACTCTCTGGTTCCTAGACTCCCTCAGATTGTGCATTCTCTACTTGTCCTTGGTCAGTCCCTCTTCCATTCCTCACAGGAACCAGTCTTGACTTTCTTCTGGCTTTACTGAATGTTATGTGTTTATGTTAACAAAGAAATTGCTCATGTTAGATAATAGAATTACTTTGACAGTTGAAGTGTATATGTTTCTCTTTTTTTAAGGACCTGTATGTTGTAATCAATGGTGGTGTTAAGGAAACCACAGAGCTTCTGAGGCAGCGATTTGACCACATCCTCTATACAGGAAATACTGCAGTTGGAAAAATTGTCATGGAGGCTGCTGCCAAGCATCTAACCCCTGTGACTCTCGAACTGGGAGGGAAAAGTCCATGTTACGTTGATAAAGATTGTGACTTAGACATCGCTTGCAGGTGAGAGTTACTCTCTGGTTGTCTGAGGTTTTCCCAGCACGGTGGGAAACAGGTTGGTGTATCTTCTTCACACTTGAACGCCATGCTTTGTGACTCCGAGATACATCATTAGGCTTTGGTGGTTGATGTCCTCACGGGTAACATAACTCTTTCACAGACTGTCTCCTAATGCCACTGTCAGAAAAGATGAGCCATTGGTTTTGACGTTATGTGGTTGTCCTCAGGAATTATGAAAAAGTTTTTTCTGTCCTTGAGATTTATAGATAGATCAGGCAAGATATTTTACTGTTTTTCTGGGAAATGATCCAAGAAGTAGGATAATCCAAAATATCATGTATGCCTGATAAATTCTTTAAATTACCAACTGAAAGGGTGTTATGTGGCTCTTTTAACTGAGTTCCTTTGTTGACAAAACCAGTATTATTCATCTTTTCATCTTGAATAGCATCTTGCATCTGGGAACTAGAAATAAAAGGTTTCAGGTTTTATCTGCTTAATCAGGTTTAACTACCAGGAAGTGCCAAAACACAGAACTAACCCTGTCCTCAGTGTGGTGTGCCTGCCTCTGCCCTTCAGAGATGGAGAACAAGGAGAAGTCAGATAGTTAGGTCTAGGTTCCAGGCTGGCTTCATAAGTAGAGGTCTGATTGCCAGACCATGAGACCCTGAGTTAGTGAGTGTTCAGGTTGTGGACTTCTATCCATACCTAGGAACAGCATTCCAAATTGAGGAAGGGCTCCACATAGTGGAAGGTGGTGTTGCCGGTGGCTGTTGTCCTGCTTCATACCTGAACCTCTTGTCAGCAGGACCTAAAGCCACAACCAGGAGAAGCAGAGTCTGTACTGGACTTCTGTCATCCAGGATGTCCTTAAAGCTGTGGTAGGAGGAGAAAGGAGGTGTTGGAAGGCTTTCTCCTCTTTTCCTGCAGCAGTCAATGGCTTTGCTGCTTATAATGGGCTATTTTCCATGAGCTGGCTTGAGAACTTTTCTGGCAGTTAGAACATCCTACCTCAGTCAGAAAATGCATTCAAAATTGGTTGGAACCAACTGATTTACAGACGAATTTTTTAAATGTTTATTTTTTTATAAAGATTACCAAGCAGACATATGAATACATTTTGGTGTAAAACATTCAAACAATACGAGTATATAACGAGTGAGTATTAGACTGAATTATATAGCTATTCTGTTTCCGCCTCCTCCCAGACGCATAACCTGGGGGAAGTACATGAACTGTGGTCAAACCTGCATTGCTCCAGACTACATCCTTTGTGAACCATCCCTCCAGAGTCAAATCGTGCAGAAGATTAAGGAAACCGTGAAGGTCTGTGTTGAACACATCTGAGTTCATGTATTTCATTAAGATACGGGGTAAAATTGACTGTTGGTAGGCAGCATCCTCATTTCCCCTCCTTCCAGGAAAATCCACTAACATTTGTGACTGAATTAATTTATCAGTTAATTAAAAGTGCTCTGTGCATCTTTTATAGAATGTCTACTGGGAGCAAAGTTAAAGGGGTGTTAAAACCAGTCAAACTGGTTGATTTGTTGGTGAAACAGCTGGTTAGTTGTGGCACCTACTTAAAAAAAAAGTTAATTGTGTGTGTTTTTGAAAGAGTGTTGCCAGTGTAATTGTTGAAGTGTAATTGGCATATTGGCCATTGCTGATTAAGGTTATGAAGACTTATGTATGTAGAGGGTCTAGAATGACCAGTAGTTTGGAGGAGTGAGTTAATTAAATATCTACTTAGACTGTACTCTTCACATGTTTATGAATTTTTCAGAGTGTTTAAAGTAAAGATCTCCAGTGAGGGAATCCGGGAAAGCTTCATGGTGGCGTCCTGAGCTCAGCCTGGAAGGAAATGCAGGATTTGGACTGATGGAAAGGGATGGGATAAACCAGTGTGACTGAGGACAGTGGTGGGAGGGTGTCACTGAGCACCCTGGGTAGAAGACATCATTAGAACAATCATTGTTCACTCAGAAGATGCTAATTGAGCACTGAAAGGATCAAGAATACCTAAAAGTAAGGTATATGAGCAGGGAATGAAAGCTGTATGCCAGGAAGTTTAGGGATATAGTTCACAATGGGCTCCAGGCAGGGTAAACTCTGAGAGTGATGCAGATGTGGAAATTGGACATTAGTGATAGGACTGGAGATGAATCCAGAACAGGAGAACACAAAGGAAGGATTGGGCATACTCAGGGTGTGTGGGATGGAAGAGAGGGTTAAAGATACCTGTGAGATTGAGAATATTTGCAGAAGTGGTTAGTTGAGGATGATAATGAACTCAGTTTTAATAAGGGCCTCTTTGCCTTCTTTTGAGATATTTTTAATTCTAGTACGGTGGTCCTTAACCTAGCTATACATTGGAATCATTGGGGAACCATTTAAAATTGAATTTCAAGCCCTCACCCTCCAAAAATTCTGATTCAATTGGTCTGGGGTCCCCAGGTGATTCTGAGGTGCAGCCAGCATTGAAGACTACTGTTGGTAGCTCTGGAGGTGCGGCCCATGAATATGCATTTTAACAAGCAGCCCAGGGGATTCTTACCACTCAGACTTGAGGATCACTGTTGGTGGATGAACAGTTTTCATTTTGAGAGTAAATTGAGAGCTCTCATAAGGCTTTAAAGTGATTCCCTAAAGACCCATTACAGTGGTTAGAAGGAAGAGCAGTTCAGTAGTTTTGGGTTTATTTTACATAATAATTATTGATTCCATGATTATTGAGGTTCTGTTTTCTTGGTTGTTACCAAAACTGTACTTCAATTCTTTGAGTGGTTTCACTAACAACTATGATCATTCCAGAGAAGATATAAAACAACAAAATAGAGCAGAGATCACAAACGTCTGTAAGGGCTAGATAGTAAACATCTCAGGCTCTGTATGCCATAGATCTCTGTTGCAACTACTCAGCTGTATTGCAGTGGGAGAGCAGCCATAGCTAGTACATAAATGAATTGGCAACCCCTGATAAAGAGCAACTCTTTCCCCTACACCTACTCCCATTGTCACTCCCAGGAGGGCCCAGGGATCGACTGTAACAGATATGTGTGAACCCCCTGAAACTGTATGGGAAATGATAGATCTCTGTGTGTTTGCTTTTATTTCTTGTCCTTGACCTGCCAAAAAGCTTAAACTTACTACTATTGTACTACTATTAAATTACTTGTGGAGGGTGGTGTGGAGTGTTGGATTCTTCGAGGATATAAAACCAGATAGATTTTTGGGCATGGGTGGGTTTTGTAACTTACTAAAGAAATTGAAACATAGGTATTTTATGACACTCAAATATGGTATTGTTTTAAATAGGAATTTTATGGAGAAAATGTGAAAGAGTCTCCTGATTATGAAAGGATCATCAATCTTCATCATTTTAAGAGGATAATAAATTTGCTTGAAGGACAAAAGATAGCTTACGGTGGGGAGACTGATGAGGCCACATGCTACATAGGTAACAGAAATTCACCTTTTCCTATGGGAAGATGACAGTTGCAGTTTTTACTGACACTATTTACTGACACTAAACTTTTAAATATATAATATTTCAGTATGCCAGCAAGCAGTATTTAATAGTTTAATAATTATATAATGTTGTTGTAGTTAGGTGCCATTCAGTCAGTTCTGACTCACTGCAACCCTGTGTACAATAGGATGAAATACTGCCCGGTCCTGCTGCATCCTCACAATCGATGTTATGCTTGAGCTGATCATTGCAGCCACTGTATCAGTCCATCTCATTGAGGGTTTTTCTCTCTTTCACTGACTCTCTACCAAGCATGATGTCCTTCTCCAGGGACTGGTCCCTCCTGATAACATGTCTAAAGTACGTGAGACGAAGTCTGACCATCCTTGCTTCTAAGGAGCATTCTGGCTGTACCTCTTCCAAGACAGATTTGTTCTTTCTTCTGGCAGTCCCTGGTATATTCAGTATTCTTTGCCAACACCGTAATTCAAAAAGCCAAGAAGCTTAAACTTACTACTATTGTACTACATCAGTTCTTCTTCAGTCTTCCTTATTAATTGTCCAGCTTTCGCTTGCATATGAGGTCATTGAAAATGCTACAGCTTGAGTCAGGTACACCTTAGTCCTTAAAGTGACATCTTTGCTTTTTAATACTTTAAAGAGGTCTTTTGCAGCAGATTTGCCCAACGCAGTGCGTCATTTGATTTCTTGGCTGCTGCTTCCATGGGCGTTGATTGTGGATCCAAGTAAATTGAAATCCTTGACAACAACTTCAATGTTTTCTCTGTTTATTGTTTGTTGCTTATTGTTATGTTGCTTATTGGTCCAGTGGTGAGGATTTTTGTTTTCTTTATGTTGAGATGTAATCCGCACTGAAGGCTGTAGTCTTTGATTTTCATCAATAATTATATAATAGTTTAAATCACTTGAACTATTTAATAGTTAAATAATTTAATAATAGTTTAAATGTTTAATAGTTTA